ATCCCAATATCCTATTTTTTTTTTTTAATGGATGATAATGGAATGGCAACCCCACCCGCGCTATCGGTATACACCGGCGGGGCACCAGTGAAGGATGATAGGCGAGGAGATGAAGTAGGTCAGTTAGCCCATCGTGACGAATTCAACAAAAATTGTTCACAATGGTTTCCAGGGGGAACCACGTGGAGGTCGACCTAATAAGGCATATTGCTAGCAATGGGGCTGTCAAACTCCATTACTGACAATCCTTTCCCCCCCCAATATCCTATTAATAACATAAATACAAAAGTTTGTAAGGATGTATAGATATATATTTTAGTGAGCATGATTTGTTTCTAGATACGCGATTACGTCAAAAATATTTGCAGGTGATGAACATCCAGATCCTGAATTCAACGTCAGTATGGATGTTGAAGCATACCACGTTATAGCACAAAATGCCAACCCTGACAAAGTCACATTTTTCCCATTCTCACAAGTAATGAAGCATCTAAATTTAAGTACGGTAAGTGAGACACAAGCGCACAGAAGACTGTAGTGACTACCTATATAGTGTTAGAAGGGCCTAATGATAAGAGATTGCCACAGCTCATAAAGGTATGCAGTACCAAAGATATCACTCGCACGTTATCTATTTTTGTAATATAAAGATTTCTTTATGATATCACGACATGTGACATTGCCCTGTGCCAATACTAGAATAATATTGGCTTAACTATGCCGGTTCACTAATTGCTTTTGCTCGCTAAATTTAAAGGATCCGAGATCTTGAATTACAGTGTCGATCCTAGTTAATATAAAGATACCTTTTTATAATATTGCGACATGTAACCGCACTATCCTGAGCGAAAACTAAGATACTATGGTCCATAAATGCGATCAAACGAAAAGAATATGTTCTAGTCTCAATGGTCGTCCGTACTATATCAGTTCATAGATTGCTTTCGTACACTAAATTTGAAAGTTTTGAGATCTTGAATTACAGTATTCAATAATTCACATCCAGTAAACACAACCATGACATCACAGAATGCATTAAAACCTACTATAACGTCCATGTTAGTCTTTATTCCTGAAGACAAAGATTTAAGTTTTTATTAAAGTGGTTGGTTACTAATTGACACTAAATACTAGATGGCGCTAGAATTGAGACTTGTGGTTTTTATTGATTTTTTTGTAATTAAAGAAAATAATCAACAAAAACCACACGGCTTGATTCCAGCGCCATCTAGTATTTCTTGTCTAATTTTAATTTAGTGACCAACTATCTTAAACGATGTCATTTTCAGGCCTGGAGAGAACAGGTCTTGGGTGCGATTGATACAGATATAATGAAAGCTCAAAATAAATATGAGCAAGTAGTATTGAAGTTAAGCGATAGGTGGCAAGCACTCGACCCAGCAACTGTAGCAGCTGTCATTAAACCAGACCTCGTTGATGAGTTTCAGTATACTAAAAATGGCGTGATTTTATGTGGTAAGTACTTATTTTTATCATCATCATCATCATCATATTAGCTATTATTTGTCCACTGCTGAACATAGATCTCTCCCATAGTCTATCATAAGGAATGGCCCCGTTCCTTATGGCAGTTTACAATAGGGTTTGTCAGTAATTGCCACGTTTGGCAGGCGGGTTGGCAACCACGGTTTGGCTTTTAATGATGTTTTAAAAGGGACGCTGTTGCCCATATTTCGACCATTAAGTTCCTTTAGCTGCCTATAAAACAGGAAGGGGTGGTCCATTTTTTTAATGAGTGATAATGAAGGTAACCCTGTCTACGCTAACAATATACGCTGGCGGAGTACTAGGGAAGTATGATAAGTAAGAGTGAAAAAGCAGATCAGTTAGCACATAATAATGAATTCACTTTGAATTAAGCACGATGGTTTCCAGTGGGCCCGCGAGGTATATAGGAACCTAAGACGGTATATTAAAAGCAATGAGGCTACTAATGTCCAGGAATATCAGGTCGACCTCTACACTGTAACAAATGAAAATCATAAACAATCCATCACGATGGGCCAACTGACACGACTTAATCGGAGAAAGGGATTATTTGCAATGGGGATTAGTAGTTCCATTCCATATGTATGTTCGTTAGGTCGACCTTCTGGCGGTTCTTCTGAAAACCTTTGTGCTTAATACCGAGTGTATTCATTACGATGGTCTAACCGACTTGTCTTCTTATCCTTACTCACTGATGATCCGCCAACGTATACCAATAGTGCAAGAAGATTTACCATTCCATTAACATCCGTTTAAAAAACCTGTCCGATTGTCCAGGGGAACGAGATTGCTAGTAATAGGATTTAACAGCCTCTTTGCCAGCAATATACCTTATCAAGTCAACCTCAACGTGGTCCCCCCTGGAAACCATCGTGCTAAATTCCTAATACAGTTAGTGCAGCTGGGGTTACCATCCCATTGTCATGCATCGTCGACCTCCAGGCGGTTTCCCCTGGAAACTATCGTGGTCAATTCTTATTGAATACTTTAATCCATCGTTACTTATTACCCTCAGTGGTGTCCCGCCAGCGTATACCAATAACGCAGGCGGATACCATTTTATTTTCACCCATTAAAATAAGTTCCTATCTAACAATTACCTATGGATGTCTTCAATACTATCCCTGAAATAACTTTTTTGAAAAACCTCGTAATGTGTATTAAAAAAATTTTTAAGTTTAAAAGTATTCTTATAAATTTATTTAATAAAATCTTTTCAGGAGATAAAAGAGGAGTCACTACGAATGATTTTGTCCCGAAATTAGAAGCCAATGCGAGAATTATCTACTCCGTGAAGGAAAAAGAATATAAACAGTTCCTGCTAGAAGTGTTTTCAGCTGATATTAAATTGTAATTAAAATATACATTGTTGTTAATTATGTTTTTTCTGATATTAATTACATTTTATCTTACAACACGAAAAAATCCTAAGATCAATTTGAAATTTTAATCTCACAAACAGGTAATTTGGAGAGATTTTAAAAACTTATTCGTGCTATAGAACATATTAGGATAAAATTGGGCGTCCCAGAGTATTTTGTAGCTGGTGACTCAATTTTGATTATTGAGTTAGTAGTGAGAAATATTTGAGTAAGGCATGATAGATGAGAATGAAAAAGCAGGTCAATTAGCCCATCGTGATCAATACACAATTCAGCACGTTGATTCCCGGGGCGGGGGGGACCATATAGAAGTCGACCTGACAGGGTATATCGTAGCAATGAGACTGATAGTACGCATTACTAACAATCCTTCCTCCTCCCCAATTTTGATTATTTGATTTACGAAATTTGTCTGCCATAGATATTGAATTACGAATTCTATAGCTTATATATTCTTAAATTTACGTACGGACGACGACTTCAATTTCAACTTGTACGTAAATAATGGTTTTTAAACTCTTAAATAAATTAATAGCGACCTCTGTAGCATAAAATACTAACCTCAAAATACCATAACAGCTAACAGCCTCTCTTCTAATACTAGTGCATTTTCCGTAATCATTAACTAGATGTCGCTACTTTCATAAATGAAATTAGTAGGCAAATTCTAATTATTCAATGTTCAAGATAATATTCATTATCATATAAGAAAAATAAACAGCATTGTACAAAATAACTGGATGTAATGATAATGCGAACAAAAGAGCAGATGTTATAAAATATGCAAATAAAAATTCTATTGTCACGCCATGAATGAACTGTGCTAGTGTGCTGTGTCGCAGCGAGATATCGCGACGTTGCCGCTTCGCTACGACAGCGAGTCACACTATAGTGTGACCATCTTAAAATTACATATCCAGTCCTAATTTGACTGAAAATGTATTAAATCTTACCAGTCATTTTATAAAAAGAAATTTATATATAACGAATATTATTTCGCATAATAATGAAGAGTTTTATAATAATTTACTCCAATACCAAAAAGAAGATAATATATTTCGATTAAATTTCGCAAGTTATTTTGATACAGCTTAGAATACCTAATTCATCTAGACAGTAAGGAAGATTGATAACATTGTTATTGGTAATGTAAATGTAAATTCACTGTTGAATAAACACTGTAATCAACTGATGGAAATGGACTGATGCATTGTTGGCACCACTTCGGTTACAAAAAGTGGCTTAATTTTTATTACTAAATATTTTAAATCTATGGATATCCTATAAGAAAACGAAAAATATGCAGTGAAAAATTTTTAGTCTCTTATAATTAAAAATATTTGTTAGTAGATGAATTTGAAATTTTTTAGTAGATGAATTTGAAAAAGTTGCTACATTTAATCAAAAAGCGGCTAAAGTAGCCACAACGAAATGATGGCGTCCAATGTAAAATGGCGTCTGCGTCAACTGTGCTCTGTATAGTGGTACAAGTGACATACCACCGCGATTTTTATTTCTAATATTTGTATAGGTACCGAACACGTATTAGGTATTTGCTTAATTTCATAACGATTAGTTAAAGTGATAAGACGCAAGAAGGTAATGAACAAACTATTCAATTATATATTAAACATTCTTATGCTGGTAGGAGTTTAACAGTGAAACTTCGATATATTCATTTATAAATGCTTGATGCAAAATCAGTTACTTATTTTGATTTAAAAACTGCTTAACCGATTTAAACTAAAATTTCTATGAGACCAATCTGCGAGTATATTTATTCAGATAAAAAAATATTTTACAAATCGGTTTACTACTGATGGAGTTATGAGGTAACAAATGTAAATAAATACAACCGAATTGAAAACCTCCTTTTATAAGTCGGTTGAAAATGGTTTATTTTCGTAAATATACAGACATAAAAATAACTATTTATATTAAGTTTATTGAGCTAATTCTTTAAATGTGCTTAATAGTATTCAATTCAAGTCATTCATATATGAATATATAAAAAAAAATTTACGTAGCGGATATGTATTTAGAGTACGTACTTAAAATTATTTTAAAATAATATACATAAAAGTAAATGCAGAGTAAATAAAACATAAATCAGTACGGAAGTTGTATAATATTTCTAGACAAATATTAAAAAATTAAAGAATACATAAAACAATTACACGATCAAAACAATGAATTTTAATATGTACTGTACTTATTCTTGACTTAAAACTACGACATGCTCGCCAATATCACTTGACAAAATGGATTCTTCCTTAGATATTTTTGATGGTTCATCCGGTGACTGTATATCATGCTGTGAGGACACGAAATACTGTGTATAAGGTGATGAACATTCTTCAGTTGGTTCGTTAATTTTAACAGAATATCTATTTAAAGTTCCCATTTCAGCTTCAAACAGAACATCATTTATTGCTTTTTCTGCTATTAATCTCTGTTTCGAGTCTAAATTTTCTAGCTTGTCTACCCAAATTCGAGTAATTGAATTTCTTATTTTCATCAAATGCGTACAGCAGTAGCATGAGTGATGTATGGGACTTTTTTTAAAACGAGATGATTTACTATCAATTTTGATAATTTTTCTTTTCGGTGTTGATGGTTTGGTTTCAACATACTCGCCAATATCAGGAACTGGCGAAGTCGAGATTTCAGTTTCAAATGGAATTTCTATTTCTTCTATATCGTTGCATTCATTTGTACTCGTATTCTGATCCTGAAATTAAAAAATAAATTACGTGACATATCTAACTGCTGAAATTTATTACTCATTTTCGATGCACAATTATTATAAAGTATATGTAGGCCATATAGATGAAAAATATTAAATATATTGGAATACAAACGATCTATCAGGTACACAAAAAATATATTAAGTTAAATTTATAATCTACTTTCTTATGTTTATTAAAACAAACAGCTAATTAATATTGCAATTATAATGCCATGATTATCTCCCTAATTCATAAAAATGTCAAACCTCTTATAAAGGTGTTATGATCTTTTCTTTTGCACTAAGTTCTCAATCTGAAAGACAGTGACAAAATGCTCTAATAGTTAAAATAGTGTTTTAGATGTTTTAGTTTCTATAAATATGGGGTATATAGGTAACACAGAAGTAGTGCCTAATAAAGAATTCTAAATACATTTTATAAAACGGTAAATAAAAAAATGCACCTATAATCCAATTAGAGAATTAAAGAAAAAAGCAATTCGAAAGATATAAAATATCTAAATGATTTTCTTTACTTAACTCGAAACGCTCTTAACTTGTGGCAAACAAATCTGTCATGAACTAACCTACCAATTGCGTCTATGTGTGTACGTTACGTTTATTTAGATTAACACACAAAGCATAACATGCGATAACGTTCTTGTCTCTTTTTCACACGTGTATTTTATGCGATCGGTATAGAAACAGAAACCATAATAACATATAAATGAAAAAATAATAACTTACCGTAGATATGTGTACTTCGTCACTTAAAAAACTCAATAACTCAAACGACCAAGTCTTCGGCTTGTAAACATTAGTAGACGAATCGTTGAGTGCTCTTGATAAAATAACTTTTTTCAGTTCTCTTCTATAGTTGGATCGCAAAGTGTTTATTTTCATTCTCACGTCATTCACAGTTGCCGCGGGTTTTATTAACTTGTACACTTGTAACAATGTCTGCAGAGCTTCGTGCCGTTGATATTTGTTGGAGTACTGTGGATGTTTCGAGTCCCATAGTATTGGTAAATTTTTGTACACGTAAATAAATTTTTTTTCCGCTGCGAACAGGCCGGACGGCGTCCTCGGGGACGGAGCGAGCGATACGTGCTCCTCCATCGCACTACAATCTCTGACTGACAGAGACAGACTGATGTTAGAATGATCAGTTGTTCCGCATCGATCAGTCCGCGCGGGGGGGCCACTTGTTCAGCGCTTGCTATACCGGTCTGACCTCATTTCTAAAATGATTGATGACTGACTGTGAATGATTGATTACTTTGTACTTATGGACTTACGGAATCACGATCATCAAGTATTGTTTTAAGGTACCTTTTTATGAAAAATTAATATTTACAGTTACAAGTTGGCCTGACTGGGAATCGAACCCGGGACATCAATTGGGTGGGCAACGTGACCACCACTACGCCACGTAGGTCATTAACCTTTAAATACCTGAAGTTTCAAATTTTGATGCCGGGGTTATAAATCGCATTGGGCGCCTACAATCGATTTTAATATTTGGCTGTTTACATGTTACCAAATGTTTTTTTCAAAATAAATATATAAAAATATCGTTTTGATTTTTTTACTATTTTTCCCCATTAGTAAAGGGTACACTTATATATTTTTTAATTTGAATAAAAAAATCAGGCTTTTAAGGGTTAGAATTATATTTATATCTCTTAGTGAGCGTAAGTACGTTGTTGTGCTTCTATTTGTTAATGGTGTTTACCATTTTAAAAACTATTAAAATACCCAATTAACCATGAACTTGGAAATTTTAATTAGATACATAAGTATGTATCTAATTATGTAATTTTATATTATTTAATTAGTAATGTTATATTAGTAATGTAATTGATTGAAATGTATTGTAAGGACCTAAAAAAGAATATGAACTAATCTATACTTATAATAAATCTGTAGAGAGGTCAATTCTGTACATGAATATTTCATGTACAGAATTGACCTCTACAACATTTATCTCTACCCAACCAGGTCGACCTCCTCGAGGTTCTCCCTGGAAACTATCATGGTTAATTCCTGATGAATTCATCATGATGGGCTAACTGACCTGTTTTCATTCTCATATATCACCCTTCACTGGTGCTCCGCCAGCGTATTCCGTTAGCGCAGGCGGGGTTACCATACCATTTTCACCCATCAGAAAAAAAATACAAACAGAAAGGAAGGGGATTGTTAATAAAAAGTATGATTGGTTTTATTTTAATGAATGTTAATGAAATTGTAACCCCGCCTGCGCTATCAGTATATACTGGTGGGGCTCAAGTATGTTTTTTTTTGTATGGGTAAAAATGGCAATATATATATATATATATATATATATATATATATATATATATATATATATATATATGTAATATCCCTATAATGTAATAAACCATTTATTTGATTTAAAAACTAAACTACTAAATCGATTTTGATAAAATTTCTTCGAGATTAATCTGTAAGTATATTTGTTTTATGCAACTTAGAATGGCAAACGAGCTGACGGCCCACCTGATGGAAAGTGGTGACCGTCGCCTATAGATGTCTATACCATGTAGTAGTACCATGGACATAACAGAGTATACTGTTTCGCCCATTATACCTCCCATACGTTGCCATTCCTAAGGACTCAAGTGTTATTCCTTTGTATCCTGTAAATTCACTGTTATATCCCACCCTTCAAATCTAAACACAGCCATACAAGCACAACTGATTCACAGTTGAAACACGAATGGGTCAGAGGTGCCGAAGCAAATGACTTTTGTGCAGATATACAAAAAAAAAAAATTAACATCACCAACAGTTTATTCAAAGATATATTTTACTTTTTATATTATGTGGTGTTATAATCAAATAAAATTCTAACAATGTTCATCTTTAGGCAGATAGCTGCATACATAGCATTATGTTTGTAAACAGAGCAATATGTTTACCTTCTTCCTTCCTCTCCGGTCCCAGGCACTTATGATCCTGGGCGCACGTTTTAGATATAGATTCTCCTCCAGGCAAATATATACACATGTAATTTTATTAGCCAATCTAGTGTCCCTGCTACATTTGCAAATAGTAATCAGATTTTTTAATGTCTATAATTTCTCTCAGTACCTCTTTCATTCCATATTCGAATCGGTTCGCACTAAAATACTTGAGTCTAGAATTAATACAGGCTTTCACAATTTTGGATTCGCATCGTTTGCAATTATAAACAGTAACTACCCTTTATTCATAAAAAAAAAAAACCAAAACCTTCTAGAAACCTATTTGAACTGTTACACTGTTTTTTCACTCTCTTTCAAATTGGGAATTTAATTAAAAAGAAAGTAGCAAAATAGTTCAATAGCTAAAATAAGTTCATGAACCATTTCACGTTTTTATGAATAAGCAAGTTGAACTACATTTATCTTCGCTTGCTTTCCTTGCATACGACATTGGGATGATGTGGTCAGCTACGCGTTTTGGCATCTACACAAATGTCTTATTGTAATTAACAAATATCTAATATATACACATGTAATATAATTTATGAATGTACCCCCTTATTCATAAAAATATCAAACTTCTTATAAACCTATTTTAGCTATTGAACTGTTTTGTCTCTTTCATTTACACCGAATTCCAAATTTGATTCTTTCAAGTGACCCAAGACTGTAATAATTAAAGTAGATTTGTATTTTTTTTTTTAGTTTTTATGAATAAAGGGATATTTGGTCATCGCCAATATCGCTTAGTAATAATTTATTATTACTAAACTTTCAAACTAAACTTCTAACTTCTAAAAAATACTTCAATATGATTAATTGTCAATGTGTGGAGCTATGTAAATATTTAGTGAATTTAAATTACACTAATATTGTCGTTGATTCAACATAGTCATCGTTGAATGTATGTATAACATGGTGATCAAAAAAGGCGGGAAACGTTAAACTTGACGATATTCTAAAGAATGAAATTTAAATTTAAATACTTGAAACTGGCAGAAATGGTTGTAAAAATAAAGAAAGAAAAAAAGAAGGGGATATTATATAAGTACTTAGATATGTATATAGCACATGTATTCTTGTATTTTTTTGTAAATGTTAATCACATGACACAATTGTGTAACACGCAGCGTAGTCCAATTAAAAATTTATTATTAGAATTACAAAACCAACTTTCTCATGTTATTTTCTAACATCAGTCACTTATATGCAGCTCCTCTCGTTTGATAATCGAGTCATTAGCATTGCCGTCATCACTCAATGACGAAGAAGCGGATGATCTGTGATTCCTATTACTTGATGTAGGTGACGGCATACGCGTGGATACATAACACTCGGCGTAAGATGTATGGTTCTTGGACGCATTAATTTTTACAGAGAATCTATCTAAATTTTCTAATTCGGCTTCGAACAGTACATCGTTTATTGCCTTCTCGGCGAAGAGTCTTTGTTGTGGTTGCAAATTCTCTAATTTATCAGCCCATATAAACGCAATTGGATTTTTAACTTTGAAAATATTTGATACTTGCGACGGTAGAGGGCTGTGGGATTTGTTTATTCTTGATAACTTTGGCTTATTCTTTCTTTTTATAATAATATTTCTAATAGGTTTCTTTGATGGGCGATATGTTGTAGATGGCGCTTCACTCTCGTTGTTCTCATTGACAATGTCTTGTGATTGTTCTGAATTATCGCTTTCATTAGTGTTTCGAGTCTGAAATTAAGAATTTTTTTTATGCAACTTTCAATGGCAAACAAGCTGACGGCCCACCTGATGGAAAGCGGTAACCGTCGCCTATAGACATGAGCAGTACCATGGACAAAACAAACTATACTGTATAACAGAGTATACTGTTTTGCTCTTGATACTTCCCATGCGTTGCCATTCCTGAGGACTCAGGTGTTATTCCTCTGTACCCTGTAAATTCACGCCATATCCCACCGTTCAAACCGAAACACAGCCATGCAAACACAATTGCTTCACGGTAGAAACACGAATGGGACAGAGGTACCCAAGCAAAAGACTTACAGATAAAAAAAATCCAAATCATTTCAGAACTCACGCAGTTTAACAAGTCAAGGTAACAAACATAAAAGAAATACAACCGAATTGAAAACCTTTTTTTTAAAGTCGGTTGAAAGTGTTCTATTTTTGCCAAAAAAAAACATCATGGTCATAATGTATAAAAATCAGAAGTTTTATTCCTTATTAAGGTAAGTAGATAGAGCATCCAATTTATGTCACATAAACGCACATTACCACTTTTTTTTTTAATGGGTGAAAATGGAATGGTATCCTCGCCTACACTATCGGTATACGCTGCCGAGGTACCAGTGAAGGGTGTCAGGTGAGGGTGAAGGCAGGTCAGTTGGCCCATAGTGACCAATTGAACATAAATTAACCACTGTTTCTAGGGGAAGCTACATGGTGGTCGACCTGATAGAGTGTATTGCTAGCAATGGGGCTGTTAAATCTCATTACTAACAATCACTTTCCATCTGCACGTTACAGGTTACGACACTAATATAATATTATTATTATTCTCTTTTTTAATAATAATAATTAATAAAAGGTATTTTTTCTTTTTTGTTTTGTTTTGTAAATGCAATTGATTGTCAATAAAGCTTTTCTTTCTTTCTTTAAATTTGTAAATTCACTGCGAATAAGACTCTTATATCTACAAAATTATACAATAATTTATTAACCAGTATCTATTATTGTGACTGCAGATAAAAATTTTCAAGGTTAGGTATACAAATCGTAAATTAGTTTATTGTTACAGTCTATTAATTTATTATTTGTCTATTTATTGTGGGATTATTATTGTTACAATGAAGTGTAACATGTTATTGTTGTATTTTTAAGTGTTTTAGGTATTATGTTTCCCTATTAAAGTGAAATAAATAAATTAAAATTAAACATTTTATTTTATTTACTAAACTTTAATATATATTGTTTCATTTTCAAAATAATTCACACTCACCAAAGACAGTTTAATTTCCGAGTTTAAAAAATGAAGTAATTCAAATGTCCATGATTTTGGTTTGTAAACATCGAGAGGTGAACTAGAGGTCATTTTAGATAATTGCACTTTCTTCATTTCCTTCCTATAATACGTTCTCAACCCATTTATTTTCATCCTCACATCGTAAATAGACGCAGTCGATTTGATGTATTTATAAATTTTTAATAACTTTTGCAGTGCTTCTTTCCGTTTATATTTATTGAAGTAATGATCGTGTTTCGAGTCCCATAATATCGGTAGTTTCTCGTATGTCTGAATAAATTTTTTTTCCGCGTCATAAAAGCTTGGCGGCGGCGGCGAAGAGGGTGGCGTTACGTCCACGTCCGTTTCCATCATGCCGTAAACTGATAAACTCACACATACATACATCACTCACCAACACCAACAAAGAGGCAGAGAGAGACAGATGTTTAATATAAAATGGCGTCGGTACCACAGGTCGTAGTTCGTTCGTACGTGTGGTGCAAGTAAATGGCTATGTTCGTTTTTTTTTACAAGCTGAAATCAAAATTATTAACTTTTTTTTTGATGCTAGAGAAAATGGTTACTCTGCTAGCGTAATCAGTTCACGTTAGTACGAAACTAGTGAATGAATCATCATTTACTGGAACTTGCTAATATACCTTAATAGGTGAGGATGAATATTCTGTACTGACAAGCTATTAAATAATTAACCAAATTGTGAAAAGGAAATAAATTAACTCAAAATAATCGACATAAATAGGACTTTATTCATTATTTACTCATTTTTACCCGCAATTTCGTCCGCATGACTGAGATATGTTCACTGATCGGCATAAATAATAGCCTATATCATTCTTTATGCACTGTGATTGGTTAAGTCAAGAAGAAGTTAAAAGGTAACAAAAATTTACAAAAGAATTACGTAATCATAACAAAAAAATTTAATACTTATTCTTGACTCAGAACTACGACATGTTCGCCAATTTCACTCGACAAAAAGGATTCTTCCTTAGATATTTTTGTTGGTATATCATGCTCTGAGGTTACGAAATATTGTGAATAAGGTGATGAACTTTCTTCTGTCGGTTCGTTAATTTTAACAGAATATCTATTTAGAGTTCCCATTTCAGCTTCAAATAGAATATCATTTATTGCTTTTTCTGCTATTAATCTCTGTTCCGATTCCAAATTCACCAATTTATCTACCCATATTCGTGTGATCGAATTTCTTACTTTTATCAAGTGTGTACAACAATAGCACGAGGGCTGGTGTACTGTACTTCTTTTCAGATAATTCGAGTTTTTATTATTAAATTTGAAAATTTCCCTTTTCGGTGAGGGTTCGGTTTTTACATATTCGCCGATATCAGGAACTGGTGAAGTCGAGATTTCAGTTTCAAATGGAATTTCAATTTCTTCTACATCGTTGCATTCATGATTTGTATTGTTCGTTGTATTGAGATCCTGAAAATAGAGAATTATATTAAATTATTACTCATTCAAATACAAAAAAAAAAAAAATCGACGTACTATATAAAAGTAACATTGTCAACTAAAGAAAAAAGAACAGAATCCGTTAAAAAATGATGAATATTTCGCGTAACATGTACATAAAAAATATAATTAAATTTCTAGCCTGTTGACTGTATTTAAAAGATGTAAATAATAAAAGCATTATTTATGAATTATTTAGTTGAAATATATAAGAAAGTACAAAAGCGAGGGAAAAAGTAACAAATGATAACGTATTCACCACCTTATGCACCATGATGGGTTTATAAAGAATAATTTGTAATAAAAAACCGAAGAGGAAAAGAAAGGGGAGGATAAAGGAATTACAAAGGTCAAATACCTCAAAGTTAAGTGTCATATTGTACAGGGAAATTAAGAGCATAGTTTTAGAATTGGAGAAAGTTTTTAAATGGCAAAGAAAAAACAAGATACTTATTAGTATAACTACAAATTACAACTACTGCAAGGTACAATTTTTTTTTAATGTTGTAAACAAAATAAACCGTAAACATATAATTAGCAAGTAACGTTACAATAATAGTCGTGTGGTTTCGGAAGCCTAAATGCGGTTGTCAACCCGCCTGCCAAGTATAGAGACTACCCGCAAAACTCTTCTTATGGGAAAGACTTATATGCAGCAGTGGACAGTTTTTTTTTTTTAATAGGTGATAATGGAATGGTAACCCCATCCGCGCTATCGGAATACATCGGCGGGGTACCAGTGAAGGATGATAGGTGAGGATGAAGCAGGTCAGTTAGGCTATCGTGACGAATTCAACAAGAATTGTTCACGATGGTTTCCAGGGGGAACCACGTGGAGGTAGACCTATTAGGGCATATTGCTGGTAATGGGGCTGTCAAACTCCATTGACAACAATCCCTTTCCCCCCAACAGTGGACAGTTAACGGCTGTAATGATTACAATAATTGAATAAATTACTAAAATTTTAATATCTAAATAACTAGCAGGCAATTAAACATCTGTCAAAATTGATACTACATGGCCAACATAACATTTTATACTGTTTTATGCAAATAAAATAAACAATTCAATATTCCATTTCATGTACTAATAAGTAATTTATTTTTACATATTTTATTATGATTCGCTTTTGACTTGCGGCAAACACTAACATATTTTGCCTAGCTAAAATCTACACACATTAAAAATTGTATCTATGTGTGTGTATAAAGTAAATTGCGATCGCATGCTTGTTATCTCACTGTATTCATGTTTTGTCTCATTCATACACATACTGTATGACTGAGTAGAATGAAAGAAATTCATCCATCAATTCAGAGCTCGAGTCGAGTCGTTCGGCTCGTTCGGTCAGTCAAAGAAATTCATCCATCAATTCAGAGCTCGAGTAGAGTCATTCGGCTCGTTCGGTCAGTCAAATTCAAACTCTGTCAGTAAATCGGTGAACGTACTAACTACTTATAATACAATAATTATGTTATGTTGCAACCTACTTACTATTTAACAAAAAATTTTTTTTGTCAAATTTGCCTATCTACATGTCTATTATACTAAACACACACATAGGTAGGTATACAAACAAACTTACCGTAGATAAGTGCACTTCATCACTTAAAAAACTCATTTGTTCAAACCACCACGTCTTCGGCTTGTAAACATTAGCAGGCGAATCGTCGAGCGATCTCGACAAAATCACTCTTTTCAATTCTCTTCTGTAGTTGGATCGCAAAGTGTTTATTTTCATTCTCACGTCATTCACAGTTGCCGCGGGTTTTATCAATTTGTACACCTGTAATAACTTCTGTAGAGCTTCGTGCCGTTTATATTTGTTGGAGTAATGTGGATGTTTCGAATTCCATAATATAGGTAAATTTTTGTACACATAAATGAATTTTTTCTCCGCAGCAAACAAGCCGGACGGCGTCCTCGGGCTCGAAACGAGCGATACGTGCTTCTCCATCGCGCTCCAATCTCTGACTGACAGAGACAGACTGATGTTAGAATGATCAGTTGCTCTGCATCGATCAGTCCGCGCGGGGCAGGGAGGCGTCGTTATTCTTACCTGCCTACCTGTCTAACCACATTTCTAAAGTGATTGACGAATGACTCTGCATCACTGATGACTGATATATAATATTTCTACTACTTGTGGTCTTATGGAATAAATATAATTTATGAATAGATAAAATCCCTAGATAGCTAAGAACCTACCTACCGAATTTGAATTCGACTTGTGTTGAACACAAAATTGTGTTCCTGAAAGTTTAATTTAAAATGTTATATGTTTTATCGTGATAGAATATGTACTAGAAGCAGTTATAATGTAATGTAATATCTAGAAAAGGTTGGTTTATATTGTTTAGTTTTGATATTGCTCGGAATAAGACATTATACGTTGACACGATAATTTATGAGTTACAATTTCATTTTTATCCATTTTAAGACAATAACAGGCACGATTTCCTTCTCTTTATGTATTTACCTTAAGTTCCGTTTTACTAAGATTCAGATTGATTCTTTGAAGTTAGTTTATTTTGCGGCAATTTGTAAAATAGAATCTAAAATAATGTGCCTTATACATTTAATAAACAGCGCCACCTATCGAATATATACACATGTTCTGCAGTACTGGCTAGTAGCACTTCTCTAGCAATCTTTGCTATGAAACATTACGCTTAAAAGTACAAGTTCATATTATTTCTCCGAGATGGCGCTGTACTAAATAGTGTTTCATATCAACAGATAATATAGGTACTAGTTGTATCAGTATTATTATAATTTGTGCATATATTTTGCAATAATGTTCATTAACATAATTTCTTTTATTTTAACAATGCTTAACATTGTTATTTAAGTAAAAATATATAATCAAACATATATATTATACAAGTAAAAAGAAGTTGAAGGAATTATTAGAAACGGAGACCAATGGCCCCATTGCTAGGTAATATACCCTGTCAGGTCTTAACCAAGCAGTTTCCCTTGAAAACCATCGTGATTAAATTTAATTAATCTGAACTTTACCCTCACCCATCATCATTTACTGAAAGTAAAATAGCGCAGGAGGGATTATTATCAATTCATTTTCACTTTAAAAAAAAGTCACGATCGTCATCTGTTTCTTTGCCCACATTTTTTTTAATGGGTAAAAATGTAATGGTAACCTCGCCTACGCTAGCGGTATACGCTAGCAAGGCACCAGTGACGGATGAGAAGTGAGAATGAAAAGGCAGGTTAGTTAGCCGTCGTGATGAATTCACTTGGAATTGAACACTAAGGTTTCCAGGGGGAACCGCGAGGAGGTCGACTTGACGGGGTGTATTGCTAGGAATGGGGCTACTAATCCCCATTATTAACAATACCTTCTCACTCCATAATGGGGCTGTTAAACCCCATTACTAACAATCCTCCTCTTTCTTTTTCCTCATCGGCCACTTATACACATGGCAACTACTGCCAAAACCCCTTATGGGGGAGCCCTATGTTCAGTAATTGATGTGATGATAATAAATTAAATATATAATTTCTCATTTAACTTATATCGATCCTTAATAAAGATTTCGCCGTGATATCAAACTGAAATTTTAAATTTAGAAATAGGTTCAGAGAAATACCGCCACAGAATTGACACCTATATAGTTTTCTAAAACTGCCAGTATTTTTTAAAATTAATTAAGTAGTTTTTAGTTTATCCTTTTTAAACAAAAACCCGAATTTATTTTTTGCTCTTTATATAATATAATATTTTAGTATGGATTAGTCTACGCGACGTCGTTTACAGTATGCTGGGTAAAAAGGTTGACAGAGGTAAAGGGACCTATATAGATAAAAGTATAGTTAATATTACCAGCATAGAATTTGACCTAATTTTTTACTGGTGTGGCTTCTGTGGCACCCTCCTTGAATTTTCGAGAAGTGTGATTAAAAATACCAGAGGGAGATTTTGTACAAAAGTCGTTTGCTTGGGAACCTCTGTCCAATTCGTGTTTCTATCGTGAAGCAGTTGTGTTTGCACGGCTGTGTTTCGGTTTGAAGGGTGGGATATGGCAGTGAATTTACAAGGTACAGCGGAATAACACCTGAGTATTTAGTGATGGCAACGCATGGGGAGTATCGAGGGCAAAACAGTATAGTCTGTTATGTCCATGGTACTGCTCATGTCTATAGGCGACGGTTACCACTTTCCATCAGGTAGACTGTAAGCTTGTTTGCCATTCTAAGTAACATGAAAAAAGGAATTATTCTTGTTAAAATCTTATATTTTACCACAGAGAAACTTTGTGCTCAAGTCATCTGCTTGGGTACCTCTGTCCATTTCATATTAATACCGCAATTTAAAGGGTGGTATATGTCAATGCAAGTACAGAGTACAGAGGCATAGGCTGTTATGCCTCTGTACCCTGTAAGTCCTTCGGAATGGCAATGAAGGGTATTATAGGCGACATATTATACTCTGTTATGTCCATGGTATTGTGCACGTCTATAGGCGACGGTTACCTCATTCCATCAGATGGACTGTCACCTTTTTGCCATTTTAAATAGAATAAAATAGAAATATTTACAGTGTTATGCTTTTTGCTATTAATGGTCTTGCTGCAAGAGCCATATAAAAATAGCACATTTTATCTAACAAAAGAAAATATTTTATAGTCGCCATAAAACTCGTTCAGTTCCATTTATACGTTGCGAGTACAGGTATTTTTATTGTTTAATTTTTATAGACAAACTAGCTTTTAAACGCGACTTTGTCCACGTGACCAGGATATGTTTACTGGCTGGGACAAAACGTAGCCTAACAAAGGCTCCTCATCATCATATATCAGCTCTTAATTGTCCACTACTGATCATAAGTCTCCCCCTTGGGGGTTTTATCAGCAGTTGCAAAGCTTGGCAGGTGGATTAGCAATCGCAGTTAGGCTTTAAAGATGTTTTAAAAGGGACGTTACTGCCCATTCCTCGCCTTCCTTTAGTCGCCTCTTACGACACCCACGGGATAAGGAGGGGTGGGTGTCGAGACCACACGGCTAAGTATATAGTACGTATATTTAAATTTCATAGTGAAAAGTTTCGTAATAACTATCTTTTTAACTTATGTGTAATTAGATTCAATCAGGCTCGCGATCGCATCATAGCTGCTCATGATTAAGTCACGTATTGATCCCGAAACTAGACGAGTTTTTCGATCTAATTAGACGCAAGTTAAACCGATAATTAATATATTAATTTTTTTTTATTAAAATTGATTTTAGTACTTATATTGTGCTGTTTATGTTTTTATTACAAAATTCATTTTAATGACAATTTACAACGACCAAAGTATTTAATTAGTAACTACAAAACGTTTGCTTTAATTTTTTTATTTATTTATAATTAAGTTCCAAATTAGAGTTACAGAGTAAAAAAAAAAACAAACAGAATTGCACACGACAGCTTGGCAGACAATTATTCAAAATTTCGTAAAACATTAGTCAATTACGAGCCGACAGGGTTGTGTTTAATTAGTTTTCGTTTCTAATTGCATTAATCATTGAGCGCCAGCCCTAACTGGCATTGTGAATGAACACAAGAATAAAATTAAGATTGTGTTCCACAAAGAAAAAAAAAACAGATTTATTTATGGAAAAACTAGTTGTTTTGATTTAAAAACTAAATTACTGAATCGATTTTGATAACAATTTCTATAGGGCCAGTCTATAGTCCGTACTGGTAACCGCAGTTAGACTTTGGAGATGTTTAAAGAGGGACACTGCTGCCCATCCCTCGCCCTCCCTTAGTCGCCTCTTATCAACTAACCAAAAATATTATCCATATGCATTTCTCTATGAGTTTCGCACATTTTTATTTACACAACTTAAAATGGCAAACAATCTGACGGCCCACCTGATGGAAAGTGGCAACAGTCGACATGAGTAGTACCATGGACATAACAGAGTATACTGTTTCGCCCATGATACCCCCCACGCATTGCCATTCCTGAGGACTCAGGTGTAATTCCTCTGTACCCTGTAAATTCACGCCATATTCCACCCTTTAAACCAAAACACAGCCATGTAAACACAAATGCTTCACGGTAGAAACACGAATGGGACAGAGGTACTCAAGCAATCGATTTTTGTACAAAGTCTCCCTCTGGTACATGTAGATAAAAAGAAAAATTTGTAGGTATTTTATATTAGCTTTAAAAGGTAAATATTTAAATTTTTGGATTACATTATTATAATTTTAATAGTGTTCTCTATGTTTTTTTTTAAGTAATATATAGTCTGTTATGCATTGCAGGGAGTCAGTGGATGCAGGTGACTCAGGCCTGATCCTTATGGCACTCTATGGAAGAAGCCTATGTTCAGCAGTGAACGAATCACGGCTGAGATGATGATTATAATGATGATTTTTTTTTTTTTTTTTTTTTTACAACACAGGGGGCAAACGAGCATGCGGCTCACCTGATGGTAAGTGACTACCGCCGCCCATGATCACCCACAACACCTACGGCATTGCAGGTGTGCTGCCGGCCTTTTAAAAAGGAATATGCTCTTTTCTTGAAGGTTATGTTGTCGTATCGGTTCGGAAATACTGCTGCTGGAAGTTGATTCCAAAGAGTGGTTGTGCGTGGGAGAAAGTGCCTTGAAAAACGCACGGTGGAGGACCGCCACTTGTCCAGATGGTTGGGATGAAATTTTAGTTTATGGCGGGTTGTACGATGGTGAAAATCTGCAGCAGGTATCAATCCGAACAATTCTTCAGAGCACTCCCCATGATAAATTCGGTAGAAAATGCACAGAGATGCAACATCTCTACGCAGTTCCAGTGGGTCGAGCCGGACAGTAAGACGCCGATCGTCAACAATTCGAGCTGCCCGACTTTGAATGCGGTCTAACGGAAGGAGTTGGTACTGTGGCGCTCCTGCCCACAGGTGAGAACAGTATTCCATGTGTGGCCTCACTTGAGCTTTATACAGTTTCAGGCGGTTTTCTGGCGTGAAATACCGTCTCACCCTATTGAGCACCCCCAACTTTTTGGAAGCTATCTTAGCTTTTTCCTCCAGATGACCGCAAAACTGGACGTCGCTAGATATATCGACGCCAAGAATCCCCAGACTCGACTTATTATCGAGGGAAGTGCCCCGAAAGTAAGGAGATACGACAAACGGTGTCTTTTTTGCGGTGAACGCGCAGACTTGTGTCTTCTTAGGGTTAAAGTGAACAAGATTGCGTTCACCCCAGATCGAAACTTTGTCGAGCGAAGTTTCGATTTCAGACACAAGTCTGTTCCGGAGCTCATCGGTATGTGCCCGCGAGATCTTTGCATGACCGGTGTATAATGCATCTCCTGTACTGTCGTCCGCATAACAATGAATATCACTGATCTGTAACATATCATTGATATGCAGAAGAAACAGTGTCGGAGATAG